AATGCAATGCAAATATCGGGCTTTCAAAATACCATTTGTTATTCCCTACATAACAGATTCCATTTTTATTCTTCTTCAATTTTTAATATGTGCAGAAAAAGCATTTAGATCTAGCTAAGCATGAAAATGACCTCATCGAGCAACAAAGAGCCATGACTCAGCTAGGGCGAACTTACCATGAAATGTTTTTGAATTCTGATGATGACCATACTGCAGTTCGAAATGCCAAGAAATATTTCATTTCAGCTATGAAACTTGCAGAAACTATTAAACTGGATCCTCTTATGAGAGGTTCCTTTTTAAAAGAGTACGTTGATGCCCATAATAACATCGGGATGCTTGAACTGGATCTCGATAACTTGGAAGAAGCGGAGAGGATTCTTCTCAAAGGACTGGATATATGTGACGATGAAGAGTTCAATGAGGATATTGATACGCGTAGTAGGCTCCATCATAACCTTGGAAATGTTTACTTGGAGATGAGAAAATGGCTGAACGCCAAAAAACACATAGAAAAAGATATCATAATTTGTAAAAGAATCATGCATCGTCAAGGGGAGGCGAAAGGATATGTCAATCTTGGTGAGCTGAATTACAGAACTCAAAGATATGAGGAAGCCATTTCATCCTATCAGAAGGCTCTTGAACTCGCAAAATCGTTGGAAGATGAGCATGCATTAGCAAATCAAATCAGACAAAATATTAGAACTGTAAAAGAAGCAATGGAAGTAATGACTGAAATAAAGAAAGAAGAGCAGAACCTTAAGAAGCTTGAAAGGATTACGGAAACTGCCAGAGGCACAGAAAATGAAAGGAAATGCTTAATGAAACAGAATGCATCTCTTGACTGCCTTGTCGACAAAGCAAGGATGATCCTTTCATGGATAAAAGTATGTACAGTTGTTCTTTCCTTATGCCCCCTTCTCAAACATACACGTGCTTTGTTAGATGATTGGCGAATAAGCCCTTTTAAGATATCAAGTGGTTGTCACTTGCTAATCTATGGAAGTTGTATATTTTTACTTTTGTCTATTGCCTGCTTGCTAAACCACTTACATATTGCATGGATGAATTATGCATAGTTTCGTGATGTTGGGAAAAAGAAGAAGAGGTTGGCAAGCGAACTGTGTGACAAAGAGAAGCTGGGTGACTCCTTCTTAATAGTTGGGGAGTCGTACCAGAAGCTACGTCAATTCAGAAAAGCCCTTAAGTGGTTCCAGAAGGGTTGGGAAACCTTCAAGTCGATTGGGAACTTGGAGGTAATTAATCGTACTAAACCTCCTGTATATGTTCATTTTTTGGAATGCTCTACCTGTAAGTTCTTATGGAATCTTGTTTCCTAAGCTTTCAGGGACAAGCATTGGCTAAGATTAACATTGGAAATGTTTTGGACTCAGATGGTGATTGGGCAGGTGCTTTAGATGCTTATCAGAAGGGGCACAGGCAAGTACCTTTATCTTTTGTTTGATGAAAACTATTCTCTTGCATTTGCGTGTTAGTTCATTCCATTTCCTATAGAATCCTACTCCCACATTATAATACATATACAGACGTACATACTGTCTATTTCTTTTTGGCACCTGCTGTTCCAACTCTTTTATCCTACTGTTATTTTCCGTGTGGTCCATCTGTTAATACTTCTCTCCTGCATTTCTAAGCTGATACACTTTTTTGTACTTGGTGCACTACTTCGGATAAGACTAGAAGCCTTTTTTCATTTTTATACTTTGGATATGATTAGATACTCATACACATCAACTTATTTTTTATTTATTTATTTATTTATTTTTTATTTTTTTAGTGTTGAAGAGTCTTGAAATGAAAAGAAATAGAAAAATGTGATTGGAAGTTTAACATATGAGCAGGGAATAGTGGAATATAGTGGAATTTGTAGGAAAACATTTCACAATGATTAGTAGTTCACTTGTTTAATTTCTGAAAATAATAAGTCAATGTGGGTAATGGAAAAATAATCGAGGTTGTGAAACCATGTCTTCTGAATAGTTTCATAAGCAACTTCATCTTGGGGTCACATTTTATTTTTCTAGTGGAACAACATTAAGTAATTTTGTACCCTTGCAACATTTGGTTTCTTTGAGAGAATAATCAGTTTTTCTGGTTCCAATCATTGCACCCAAGTCTGCACAGAGACCACGTCAAATGAACTCATTTGATCATTGCACAAATTGTTACTCAAATGTAATTAACTATTTATTTCTTTTATGACAGGATTGCCATTGATGGAAACCTATATTCCTCGCAGATTTCTGCTCTTGAAAATATACACTATAGCTATATGATTCGCTTTGATAATGTTGAAGAGGCCAGGTAAAAGGTTTTATCAAATTTCCCTAAGAATTAATTATGATATAGTGTGAAGATCTGATGAAAACAGATTGTGCCTAACTTTTCTTATATTGTCAATTTCAATATGACACCTTCTATTTAGTTAAGAGTGTGCATATAATCTATTGCTACTTTTCAGGAAAACAAAATTGTTGATTGACAAATTGAAGCAATCCAAAAATGGAGGGTTTGAGCCTGAAGGTTCAAGGGACTGCTGTTCTGAAACTCAATTGCATAACCTATCAACCGATGACAGGTCCGATGGTGGGTTTTCTCAGGAAAGTGGTAGGCTAAGTCCTCTGGTTGCAAAATCTAGTGATCTCGATGAATTATTGGATGAAAACATACCTTTGGCATCACTGCTTCAATCCAACAGAATCACGGGGAAGCAGAAAACTGTTAGTGGATTTGCAACCAATGCTATCACTAGACCAAGTGAATCCTCTAAAGACAGCATGTCCAGGTCAGCTGGCAGTTTAAACCGCAAACGCATGCGGGTGATCCTTTCTGATGATGAAGATGAAAATGAGGATTCTTGCTCTAAAAGACTGGTCTGTGAGCATCCAGGTGAAGGCACTGCAACTTCTGATGAATGTAAGCTGCAAACTGTGTTTAGTTTTCTCTGAACTCTTAGTATTGAGATAAGATCATTGAACCTAGTCTCTTATGTTGCAGTTATCAGAAAATTTCCCACTTGTCAATCGAATGAGGACCAGGTGATACATAACTTGACAACTGAGTTATTTAGTTAATGATGTTTTCCTTCTTACGCAACAGTTGTATATTACTTTTGTGTTCTATAGGATGTTTCACCAGTTGCCTCAAGATGCACTGTTGGTTCTTCTCTTGCCAATCTTGAGAATAGTGCATGTTCCTACAAATCCAGAAGTTCTATATTAGGCTTGCAGGACAGTAGAGATTTTAGAGTTAATGGAACATGTGAAGCTTTTGTTAATTCTAAAGATCATGGAACGGACAACAGTGTTCATATGGACTCCAGCAACCTCTTTCAAAATAGGATTTCCAGCTCACATCTGCAAGCGTGCTATGATAAACCTTGTGTGAGTATGATTAGTGCTTTTACTTAGCTCGCCTGTAAATTATAATACTCATGTCCTCTTGATAAGGAAGCTTGGTATGGTACTATGGTTAAGGTTTCTTTAGCAACTTACCTGCATACACCCAGATCGAGTTCCAAAGACTGAGACAAAACAGAACCTCTTGTATTCCATCAATATTTTCTTGTAGTAGTGATATTTATCTACAAGTAGATGATTGGTATAATTGTCTATTGATTGTTTACCTATGTATTTTGTAACTAATGTTGCTATAAACTTGAGTTTTTTCCTAATATTGTTTTCTGTTTCACTTGATGCGTGTTGCAGCAACACATCATTTTCAGATTTGATAAAGAATTTTTACATATGGATCTCGATTTATATTGTGCTGGCCGAAAACTTGACTTGGAAAAGATGAAGGTTGAGTTGGCATGCTTGTACTATTTAAAGCTTCCCAGAGAAAAGAGATCAAGAGGCAAGTAGCAACGCTGGTTTCTTGATTTTAGTTTGCTTGTTTGTTGATCTTCGTCTGAAGTATCTAAATTTTGTAATGCTCAATAATTTAATAATGTAACGGAATTTGACTGATTTGGATATGCTCATTGAGTAATGTACAAATATCATCATTTTATAATCCAACTTTTCGAAGAAATAATTGAACTCTAGAATTTGCTAACTTTCTGAGTAGACTATGCTCTAGAAAAGTTATCATGAATTCTTCATATATTTGAATTGTACTATATCTAATTATTATTATTTATCAAGTTTCGGAACTTTTCTGCTCCTGGAGCTTTGCTTTAAGAATGGGTGCCATGGCGTATTTAAATATAGAGCCAACTTTGATCTCTTACTGCACTTTTGTATTATTTCACTTTGTAATACAGCTTTCAATAACTTTATTTAACTTATTCGACGGGGATGGAAGATTATTGATAAGCCAATAATCGATATGTTTAATCTTATTTATGAAGTTTCTACTTCAATAACCCTGTTCGTTGCTGAAGATATGCATCAACGGCCACTGATAACGATGATTCTGTGTCACCAGGATTGGTGCCAGTCATTCAACACATGAAGTATGGGGGGGTGGTTCTTGAATCTATGGAAGCCCTACTTAGCATAAGAGACCATGCAGAAGGCGACAACTGGATTGAGGTTTCGGTTGGTGGTATGGTTTTAAGCCCAAATGAAGCCTTTTGCTGTGCAGCTACTTTTGAACTTCTTCTCTCTTCTCTGTGGTCAATTCCTAGCTAGTCTGAATTGGATGTTGATGTCCAACGCCACTGAATTGAAGATATTCATGGCTTCATTTCTTGAAAACTAAGTGACTTCTGAAACCCAATTCCTGTGGAACAGGAGGCCAAAGAAATTTTGACAACTTAAACATGATTACTACTCTTAAAACAGATCTGCTTGCTACTTGGATTAAGCATTCTTAAGATCTTTCTGTTGTAACGCTATAGCCAATGCTAAATGCTATCATTGCTTGATTGGTGAGGATTATCGAGACTGGAACTCTTCACCAATATTGCCATGTTATATATTCTTGTAATCCAACACCCAACTGCTTCTTTTATATTTGTAAACAGAGAGAACGTGCCAGTTGATACTAGGTACTGAACATTTTGTTTTGATCTTTTGGAAACATCCTATGTACGGAGTAATATTATGGAGACCTAATTTTCTAAAAGTGTACTTGTTATAGGCAATTCCACCTATTAAAAACCTGGAATGGAATGTATTCTCTCAGTTGACGCCTTCTCATTTTTTGTGTGGCTAGGGGTGGATGCTTCATTTCTTATGTATTAGGCATGTGTAGCTGAATATGTAGAATTAGAACATGAATGAAACTGAAACTATACATTTTGTTTGTACTCAAGAATATACAAATGATTATGTTGACTGTCAAAATCATGATATATAAGCATGTTATCTTAACATTACTGTTTTGTCAAATGCACATGATGGACGATTTTGAGTATTCAATTCTGGATCCTCTATTGTTGATGTTTATTGTTCTATATAAGCTGAACAGATCTCAATACAAGAGAAAGTATATTCTTTAGTTCTTTTTGTCAAGTATGTAATACACATTGGCAAGTGCAATGCACGAAACAGAGCAGGTGATGCCTCCTGAGACATCGTGGTTCTCTAGAAAATTGATGTCTTGAGTTTTGGATATGTTTGCTATTTAACCAGCTCACCATTTGTTTCGTACATAAAAAATAGGCAAAATATTCTTTGCTGATGCTGTCGTCCAAATAGGAGTATCCATATACTCACATGTTATAGAATAATTTTGTTATTCAGCACACTCAGGGATAGCCTTATTTCTCATGAGCAGTTATGGTTGCAAAACATTTGCTGAAACTCTACATTAACTGCTGCGAGGAATTATCAGAATCACCAAATTTGGATGTGGTTCAGAAATTGTATAACTTAGAGGTAAGTTCTAATTTAGTTGTGGTTCACATAATCCTGGACAAATCTGGTTGAAATGATACACACATATGCTGACACTAGCAATAAAAAATCAAGTAATTATTGTCATTTTCTGTGATGAACATTTGAACAGGTGTCTGAGGATGAAATTGTGGTGTCTGATTGTCAATTGCGTGATGTATCAGTAGCACCATTGCTGAATGCTCTGCAAATGCACAAGACTGTTGCTGTTTTGGATCTATCTCATAATCTATTAGGTACCTGTTCGTCATTCCGTCATCCGCAAATGGTGATTATCGTAGTCAAAGTCTATCTCTTATCTTCATTTTTCTTGTGTTAATATTTCAGGAAATGCAACCATGGACAAACTTAAACAGGTATTCATATCATCTGGACAGAATTATGGTGGGTTAGTTCTAGATTTGCATTGTAATCAACTTGGGCCAGCTGCTTTATTTCAGGTTCGTGATTTCTTACTCTCATACAGAGTTTTCATTTTCTTGTTAGTAAATATATACCTTGTTGCAGTCAAGACTTGAGCATCTAAAAACCTGAAAGTTAAAAGAAATTTTGGTTTTACTTTTTAGATTACTCTCATACAGAGTTTTCATTTTCTTGTTAGTAAATATATACTTTGTTGCAGTCAAGACTTGAGCATCTAAAAACCTGAAAGTTATAAGAAATTTTGGTTTTACTTTTTAGATAGGAATTGGTTCTGTGGGCCTCGAGCTAAAGCATGGTGTTTTATCAAGATAAACAGTGGATATTATTGCTAACACACATCACACACACACACTCATGAGTGGAGTATGATCCACATCATGAATTTGGAGTTGCATCCAAATCCCAGAATGCATCTTTAGATTTCATATTTTGCTTATTATTCCTTCAAATTATTTTGGGCTGGCAAAGGGGATGAGAAACAGAATGGATAAAAATTCAGCCTAGAATGTTAACTTCTCATGTATATGAGTGCATGCGTAGTAAATAAAACTTTATTCTACATTTCTTTTCTTTATAATATCCTATTAGGATAGAAAGAAATCTAGATGAATAATGATAAGATTTCAGTTTCTCCAAAGTCCTATAACCTACTACCTTGTTGCTTGTCTCTTTTGAAATAATGATTATCCATGAGATGAAGATATGGGGGGTTTGTGTCTGGCTGGTGCTAGAAATGTGGATTAGATATTAGATTAATATATGATATAACCAGGCATAGGAAACATGAATACCTTATTGATTTTGAAGTTCCAAGTTTCAGGTAATATCTAATATTGTTTTCCAAGAGATGAAATAGTTGAACATTATTTTAGGATGCTGAAAGATTGTTTTGTGGTAATTTTAATTGTAAATTTTTCCTGTGTATAAGATGCAGAAAATATTGTAAGAGGGTTGAGTGTAAGAAGTTTGCACAGTAGTTACTACTATTATATTTGATCCTTATTGGAAATAAATATATGTAGTACCTCTTAATTCACTCTGTTTGACTAATATGTATGATTTCACGGAGCCCTGCTTCCCAGTGACTGGTTGACTGACCTGACATATCCTATTGTTCCGTAATTCCCTGAATATCAGATTTGTGAATGCCCATTACTCTATGCACGATTGGAAGTTCTCAACATCTCTGGGAACAACTTGTCTGATAAATGTGCATCTTACCTGTCAACTGTTCTCCGGAACTGCAAAGGTAAAACTCTTGTTACTCAACTCGATAATTACTCAACTCGATATCCCTCTATTATTAAACGTTCAGTAAGTTGTGTTGATTTATTAAAGTTCTCCTTTTACTGACAGAAAAACCAAGATTAACTAAGATATCTCTAGTAATGTCCTTGTCAAATTTGAAACGAATTAAAGAATATCTATAGGCTGTGCGTTGGAAGTTTAGACTAGTTCCCTTTGTCCTCATGGAGAAATTCCCTGCTTTGCAGCTCTTTATAGTTTGGACATAGGGAACTGTTCAATCACATCAAGAACAATTCAAATGGTTGCTGATTCACTGGATTCAGAATCTGTACTTGAGCATCTTTCTATAGGTAGCTTCTAAAGCCTGACTTAATTTCAAGTTGATCTACTTTCCTTTGCACTGAATAACAATTCGGAAACTCTTCTTCTGAACAGGACACAATCACTCTGTATCTGGAAATGCATTAGTGAATCTTTTGACCAAGCTCGCCACTTTAAAACGGTCAATGGTTTTTAATTTCATATTCCTACTGATGTGTTGTATTTTGGTGGGTATGATTCACAAATTGGTGAAATTTGCTTCTTACAGGTTTCAAGAGCTCAATCTAACTGGGATAAAAGTAAGCAAGCCTGTGGTGGATAGCCTTTGCCGACTTGCCTCCAACTGTTGCTTGTCAGGATTGCTGCTGGGGAATTCTTCTATTGGAACTGTGAGTTATTGACCTTCCTTGTATTGTGGTCTATAGATACTGTAGTACTTACTGAGGGTATATTTTTCATTCCATCAAAAAGTTAATGCTATATGAGTTCTTTAAACCCAGAGATTTTGTTTCAGTTACCTTTGTGCTTAATCTAATCATTTGAGGATGCTCTCAGGAAGGTGCAGTAAAGTTGATTAAGCCATTATCCAAGGACACCCAGGATTTGGTCAGGCTCGATCTTTCATTCTGTGGGCTTACTGGCAATTGCATTACTGCACTCAGAGATGAAGCATCTTTGGTCAGTGGGATTCTTGAATTGAATCTTGGTGGAAATCCGATGATGAAAGAGGTTTGTTTATTTGAGTTAACTTGGACATTTGAGAGTTGAGACTTTATTATAGCTTGAATTGAATCATTGTCCCTAGCCACTTTTATAGTCATGCATTAGAAAACATATTTTACACAATTTGTTCATTTGTATCTTTGTCCCAATTCCCTATCAGACCTTCAGTCTTGTCACCTCTAGTGTTGAGTAAAGTTTCATCACAACTTGCATTCTTGCATAGACTATTTGTTTTCGTTTTTTACTCGATCATCTGGGTAGGGGGGCTATTTATTTAGATGGTATGTTTGATGAAACTATCCCAGTAGGTAACGCATAAGTTGGTTCTAAATATTTTGCAATTAGCAAGCATGCGTTCGCTGTTCATCTGAAGGTATTAGGATAAATAACTAAATGTATTTCTATGACTTGAGATTGCCACTTATGATTGTTGAGAACCTTAAAAAACCACATACATTTACAGGGATGCAGCCAGTTGGTATCCATACTCAGCACTCCTCAGTGTTCTTTTCGAGTTCTGGTCCTCTGTAAGTGCAAACTCGGCCTTGATGGTCTAATCCACATACTTCAAGCACTGTCAGAAAATCATTCTCTTGAAGAACTCGATCTGGCTGACAATGTGGGTGTAAATGAAATCCAAGCTCTAACAGACATAGATGAAAACCAGCTCGAAATTGCCGACAGTGAAGATGAACTTGTAGATTCAGAAGCTACTTTATCCACCTGGAAAAATAACCCCATGCACACAAAACCTGAGAAATCAGTGGCCTTGTCAGAATGCGAGCCCATTCAACAGCTTTCCGATTGTATAAAGATGGCTGGGAAGTTAAGATTGCTCAATCTTAGTGATAATGGATTCCCGCAGGAGGTTGGGGATGTGTTGTTTTCGGCATGGTGCACAGGCGCCCGATCCTGTGTTGGCCGAAGGCACGTTGATGAAAAGGTTGTCCATTTCTCGGTGGAAGGGAAAAATTGCTGCAGCGTTAGGCCCTGCTGCCGAAAGATTTGAGCACCACTGGATTTTTTATGGCTTGCACCGGAAAGCGTGACAAGAGTTTTGTTGGATGATGTATGAAACAAAAATTCAGTTGAACTTATTATTACTTATCTAGGTAGATGCTTGAAGAGGTACATGTGAACTATGGATTAGAGTGACAGTAAAGTATGCAAAAGTAGATTATTTATGTAATTGTATTGTTCTTATAGTCGTATCATTTATGCTGTCCTAACGTAGTTTAATTTCAATCGAAACATTAAAGAAAACGAATATTTTGGAGGTAAAACCACAAATTTGAAAATAGAACCGACAAGTTGGACTGGTCCATCTGATTTTAATATAATCAATCTTTCTTAAAAAATTAATTTACCAAACTAGCATAGTTAATAAAATTAAATTTATTTATTTTATTGATCACTAGTATTTAATTACTATCATTTATCATGTTCTGTGTATATTTATAAACTAATACATCACCAATGAGTGGATGCCACCTACGCGGTGGACATATTAACATGTGCTCACCGTGGGTAGGTGAGCATTTCTCTATAATATTATGTGTCTTTTATAAACTAAAAACACGTAAATATTAGTTCAAATGTTTTAATACTATCGAAAATGAAAATATTGTAATAACATAGGGGTGCACATAACACTCACATCTAGTGGGACACACCAAAATTAAAAAATCAAGTGGACCCCACTCTATGTGAGTGTTATGTACACTTCTATGTACATTCATTATGTAATTGTAGCATTTTTCTTTTAACAATGGGGGTTTTCATGTAAAATAAGCCAACAAAGTTGATGAGCAGAATTGATAATATACTATAAGTTAGTGCATAGAAAACAAGATAGTTGGAGTTAGAAAAAAAAAAAAAAAAAAGATAGTTGGAGTTAGTTACTGTGTATACTTAAAACATGACTTTTTGTCTAATAAACGTTACACCTTTTGTTTTAGTCGTTGAAACATGTTTAGCGGTGAGCGAGCCGAGTTTGGGTGTTTCGAGCTCGTGTTCGTTTGTTTATTTTTTGAATAAAAATCGTGTTCGAGCTCGTTTAATTGTTCTTCAACGGCTTTCGCGCTAGTTGCTCAATCCCTTGCTTAAACATTCTACTTGAATTAGATTAATTCATATCGGTAGATCATTTATCAATCATTAATTGAATGATAAATAACTACAAGTGACGGAGATACACGATTTAAATAATGGAAAACGAGAATCATGTTTAATAGAACTTTTACGTTCTGATGTTTGACATTTAGATATTGTGGTTCATCACGGGTAGGCACAAGATCACGTATTTGTTATTTGTAAACATATATAATCAAGTTCGTATTGTGGTCGAAGTGACCTCCGCTCGATCCATTACCAGGTCTCACACATATTCCGAGAGAGGAATCAGCCCGCTGATTTCCTTGCTAGCACGGGGGCATCTATACCCCAGAGACGCACCCTTCATCCTGAGGACATTCCCCTCCGGCTTCGGACGCTCATTCGGATGGACCAGCTAGAGTACACATCCTTCAGATTTGGTCGACCGCCACCACCTGACCTTAACTAGACTTGTCGTTTTGGACCTCATGCCAGGTCACTTCGACCAGGACGACCTTTTATGAAGACTTGATTTTAGATACGCATCGGATATTTTGGGATCCTTGTTCCTTTTATTTTTCTGTTTTGATGTTGCTCATTGTATCTTCGACATTGATGTAGACCATTGACTTTTTAGTCCTCTCTGGGCATTTATATTCACAGGTCGGGGGTGTAGCCTCAACCCCCCATCCCTCACTGGGATGTTTATATAGAAAAAAAGTTCGCAACCCAGATGGAAATGAACGACCCATCGTGTAGTGTCAATTGTACAGTTTGTCTTGACTGACTAGTTGTACCATTACACTATGTGTATTGAACAAAATCCACAGAGGATAAGTTTGTTTTATATTATTCGAGTAAACAAACTAGACATCGGTTAATTACTGCTCTTAACCCGTAAGATATAATAAGAAACTTGCATACAGTAGCTGCTACTTTGATTCACCAAAAAAGAGATCCATTATGCTGGCCAATAATCAAACATGATTTGGGTAGTGATGATGTGTGTATGGTGTGTTGTTTGAATATTTACGGTCACCGTGTGTGATAGTCTGCTGGTGTCCCCAAGATGAGCTTAAGAAGGGTTATTATGTTAAACCTGGCGGTGGAATTTATTTTGACATAATAATAAAGATTTGAATGGTACCGGTCTAGGTTCAAGAAGTCAAATAATTATATTATTAGTAATTAAATTATTGACGAACATTATATTTTAAACACGAGGAGGTAAATCGAGTAATATTATTGGAACCTCAAATATAATTTGGGCGCTAAATAGGGAATGCAATAATATTTCTCTAGTGGATTGAAACATTATTCACGTTTGTGCTGAGTGGGTTCGACCCACATTTAGGCCCAAACTTTGAAAGCTCATATTTAGCACCCTCATAGGTCTCATTGTAGCCTATAAATATATCATCTCTTGGGATTGAGAATTATGAGAAACACTCATTCTAGCTGCCCCTCTATACCCTAGAAGTCCCAATTGTTATATCTTTGAGATCATCGCCCACCAAGACGAACGGAGAAGCTGTCGGTACATACAACAAAATATCTGAGGTGAATATATATATATAAATTTATCCATGTAAATATACAAGGGTTGATGACGCCAATCCACGACAACTGGGGGGACGTTCGACGATGTTCAGGGAGCGATCGACCAAGGCGGACGGGCAGCCGGTGGCCGACAGGTGGCAACTGCGCACAGGTGTTGGCCGCAGCCCTTGACCAGGCACAACCTGCAACAGGCTAGTCGCAGCTCCCTGAAGATGCCCCCGCACGGGCATAGCCGTGAGTAGGGGACGGGTGCAGTCGCTGGACGCGCAACGCGAGCAGGCGGGCGAGCGAGGTTCTCGCAGGCGTCGCGACCGTTGCGCACGAATCACGCGCAATGCCTGAGTTCCTCGATGACGCTCGCTGGCGAGGGGTACACACACGACATTCACGACTTTGTCGGCAACAGACAGTTGTCGCGCGTATTGTACGTGTAGCCTCTGTCCCGAGCGACCTCATTGCGAGGCCCGTACACCACTCGACTCAGGCGGGCAAATTGCTCCGTCGTGCACAACAGTGCAATGGCGCGTACTTCATGTGAGATGCAACAAGTAACCGCATACGCAGGAGACCTAGAACGCACGCAGGCAACCCAAGGCGTGCAGCAGGGCACTCTCACAGGCGAGACCCGACAACACCTGGCTAGACCTGGCAACACTCGTGTTGTAGCACAAATTGTTATTTTTTTTACCGAGTACCGAATCGAAGATTCATTTTTGGAGTCGATCTCTCGAGGAAGAGGTTCGGAATCTAATATTGGTATTGATAACACATAAAATGAAAATAAAATCTAAACACTCTAATCAAGATGGATGGACAAATGATCAACTAGGATAGCAACTAAGAAATAACGATAATCTAAAAAAAGTATAAATGAAACAATGATAAAGAAACTAGTGAATCGGGAATAATCACTT